GCCCCAAACCCCAGCCAACACCAGCCTGCTTGGGGGGTGGTGGTCTCTGCCCAGACCCACCTCTCCGATCCTGACCGGAGTTCCTGCCAGGGTCGGGATGCAGGGAAGGGGGCAGCGGTCCCGGCACTCGGGGTGAGCGACCACGCGGCAGTCCCGGCACTTGAGGGAGATCTTCCCAAACTTCACCCTCTTTCCGCACGGGACACACGATTCTGGCTTGATAACCTGATGGTCCAGAGCGCACAGATGGCGGAGATTAGTGCAGTGTGGTAACTCAGCAGGAGTTAAACTGGGTAATGTGTTCCCTGAGCCGTGCAGGTGACTGGTACAGGTCATGTTGACCTGAGACGTAATCACAGAATCAGAGTATCCTGAGTTGGAAGGGACCCACAAGGATTCAAATCCAACCCTTGGCCCTGCACAGACACCACAACAATCCCACCGTGTCCCTGAGAGCATCATCCCAACATTCCTGGAGCTCTGGCAGCCTTGGGGCTGTGCCCACTGCCCTGGGGAGCCTGTTCAGTGCCAACCACCCTCTGGGGGAAGAACCTTTTTCCTGAGAGCCAACCTGACCCTGCCCTGACACAGCTCCCAGCCTCTTATCACACACATTTCTGGAGGGAGGGAGGGAGATGCTTTTTCGGGGTCCTGCTGCCTGCAGACCCACCGTCTTGGAGACAAAGTCGTGCAGCCTCACCCCCCCGTGCTGGGGGGTGCTGGAGCCGTCGGTGTCCGACTTGGATTCCAGCTGCTTGCTGCCTACGCTGGACTCGCTGTTCCAGGCCTGCAAAGGACCTGGAAGACACAAAGAGGGAGAGGTTGGCTCACTGGGATCATCACCCTCTGCCCCCAGAAGCACGGGAATTATAAACCATAAGCAGCTGGCAGGTCCTGGTGCCGGGACTGGGGGCAGGGATGTGACACCTACCGCTCTTCCTCCGGCTCCTGCGAGGAAAAGGCACGGTCTGGATGGTGGAAATGGCTTCGATGGGGCCACCATCGTTGGGGACCATCAGAGTTGTCTTTGCAACGATGGATTCATTGGCCTGTGGCGACAAACACGCTGTTGGTGATGGGAATAGCAATGGGACACGGGAGTTTCCAGTGGCCCCGCAAAGAGGGAGGCTGAGAACACCCGAACCCAGCTGGGACCACCCAAACCCAGCTGGGACCACCATACCTGGTCTGCTGTGTTGCTGATGGACCTGGATTTCTTCTGAGGACCTGGTGGGCCTTCAGTGAACTGCCTGGAAGAGCGCTGAAAAGAGACAGCTCCTTCTGGTTTAGGAAGCAGCAATGATGTTGAATTGGTGTTATCCTGGCCCAGGATAATTAGAAGGACTGAACGCTTAATTGAACCTGTGGTGTGTGCAGACAAGCCCTTCAGCAGCACCCCGTCCTTCATGGCAACCTTGAAGCTGCCATGAAGAAATCAGGAAGCCTCAAAAATGCTGGTTTTTTTTTTTTAAAGTGATTTTCCTAGTCAGCTTTATAATTCAGCTCAGAAAAAAAAAAAAAAAAGAAACCCAACCTAAGAAAGGAGAAGCAATAAAATAAGACAACAAACTACACACACACACAAAAGAGAGCAACTGAGGTGGCAGATGGTGGCATTGTGGCTGCCAGGGCGAACAATGGGAACTATCTGACGGGGAACAATTGAACTTACCCGCTTCTCCCTCCTCTTCAGCCTGACAGCTTTCACCACAGAGGAGTCCCAGTCCTGGGGGAAATACACAGCACTGGGTGAAGGTAAATGCCACACAAATACCACTGGCCAGGGGTTTCAGCGAGTTTTAGCCGGGGAAAAGGCAAACCAGCTGAATACCCCAGTAATCTAAACACAAAGGGGCCTCCGGAGATCAGCCCCCTCCCCTCAGGCTCTCCAGGGGAGGAGAACTTCGGAACGTGGAGTGACATTACCAGTGAGTCATCGGTCTTGTCGAAGCTGATGTCTGACAGAATTGAGCCAGATTCATCTATTGTAGACAGCCTGAAAACCAGAAATTAGAAGGAAATTTGTATCGCTTTGGCTTTCAGTCAGCCGTGGTTCCAGAACAATCTCGGTGACTCAGAAGAGTCGTATCTCAAACTGCTGTTGACAAGGGCGCTGGATGTGGCACAGAGGCTGGATTGACACCTGACACTGCAGACAAAAACGCTGATTTTTTTTTTCTCCTACCTTTTGCCTCCTGAGCCCCCCACGGAAACCTTTGGCCTGTTGAGGAAGGCGAGGACAGACTTCTGCTCCTCGCTGAGCTGGATGCTGCCCGAAGCATCGCACATGAGCAGCTCCCTGATCAGCTGGATCTGCCGCTCCTGTAAGCACAGACACCATCAGCAGCCGGATCAACTGCGTCTAATTACCGCGAGACCCCATCTGATGTGTTTCAGATAGCAGAGATAAGCTCTCAGAGCTCGGTGTCAATAGATGGCAAACGGCTCAGACAGGTAATGGCAGCTCAGACAGGTAACGGCAGAGCAGCCACTCTCCTTTCCCAGATCAAAGCTGATTCCTTGCTGTTTTTTTTTTTTTTCCCCCCTCCCCCTGATTGCCAGTGCAGTTTAACCACCCTGGTAACAGGGGGATCACTCACCAGCTTCTCGCAGTCCATCTCAGCTCTTTGCCTCCGTTTGATCTCCACATCCACCTGGTTGCGGGCGTGTTTGAGCTTCACGTCCAGGGCGCTGCGCTCGGCCTCCGTTTTCATCAGCAGGTCTTTGTACCTGCCCAGCTCGTGCTCCGTTTTCTGCCATTTCCTCCGATACTCCTCGAAGTTCTTGGCCAGCTGAATGAACTCTGGGGGTGGGGGGAGAACAGGCCCAGCTTTAGCTGCCCGGGCTGAGGGGGCACAGCAGCTCCTCTGTTCACACAGAATCCCAGGACCCTTGGGGCTGGAAAAGCCCTCCAAGACAGAGAACAACCTGTCACCCAGCCCAAAGTGCCACGTCCAGTCCTTCCTCGGACACCTGCAGGGACGGGGACTCCACCACCACCTCCCTCCCAGTGCCTTTCCATGAGGAAATTCCTCCTGATGTCCTGGACCTCCATAACCCACTCCTGATTGAGGAGAGGAGAGCTGGCACACGAGCCCCCCTGCACAAACCCAGTTTGCCACGAGCAGAACACGGCCCAAGACAAAAGTTCCACCCAGGGCTTTGCTCTCCAGCCCCAAATCTGACTGGTTTGAGCATCCCCAGCGGGTTCCTGGGGGACACAACTCACGGTACTCGTTTCCCTCGCTCAGGACCTCGGCCTGGCGCATCAGCTGCTCGTACAGACCCCGCAGGTTCACCATGGCAGTCTCCATCCCCCTGCCAAAAAAAAAAACCACGGCTAAACAAACAGCCCGGCCCCCCTCCTCCCATCTCCCAGCACAAAACGCGTCCCCAGCCCAAGGGAAGGTCTCGGAACTGCTGATTTGAATGTTTTTGGCGAGTTTTGGAAGCTGCACAAACAGAAAGAGTCGTTAAAAGCTATGGTTGGTGGAGATATATGCGTTTAATTTTTTTTCTTTTTTTTTTCATAGGGAATGAAGATGCACAGCCCTCCACGGTTTATGGATAACAGAGCCAGGGAGAGAGGCAGATCTGCCCACCTCAATGCTTCCAAAATCCACCAGCACAGCCCAGAGGCTCGGAACCCAAGGGATGAGGGATCCCAAACCCTCTCCCCTCTGGGAGAACGCAACCCATGCCCTGTCTACAAATAACTTGGCGCTATTTAGGCCACACAAAACGCTGCAAACTTGCACGTTTTTTTTAAAGATAAAAATAGGAGCAGCATTCTGGGGAATTTTAATACAGTTTTAAATTTAGCTGCATTTTAAGCTACAGCTCCTCCCGCAAATAGCTGTTAAAATTCAGCCAGTCAGCACATTTCCCCTCGAAAAACAGCAGCAACAACGGCATAAACAGAGGCAGCGAAGGGGAAAGTTTCCAGCTCAGCAAGACAGAAATGACTTCCCTAATGCAAGAGGCTGGCTGGGGCACTCAGGGCAGCCAGGGATGGGGAGCTGGTGCTGGAAAGGGTTGGGAGAGGTGCCAGGAGGGAACGCAACAACACATGGGGCCAGCACAGAAGGCTTCGAGGTGCCTGATTTCGCAGGCACAGACACCTCGGAGATTTCTCTGTGAAGTGTGGGAAAGCTCTGGCCTTGTGGCCCGTGAGAGCACCGGGAGGGGGGAATCCTGGGCGGGGTCCGGGATTGGGGACCCGCCGGGTCCCCTCAGTCCTTCCACACACTCACCTGAGCCGCTGGTTCCTCTCAGCCCCTCCCGGTTCCTCTCAGCCCCTCCCGGTTCCCCTCAGCCCCCTCAGGCTCCTCTCGGTTCCCCTCAGCCTCCCCTTCGGTTCCCCTCAGCCTCCCCTTCGGCTCCCTCCACCCGCCTCGGCTCCTCTCAGTCCTCCAGATCCCCTCAGCCCCCCAGGTCCCCTCAGCCCGGTCCCCGCCGCCTCACCCGGGCCGCGGCCCCGCCGCTCCCGCTCCGGCCCCGGCCGCGCTCGCCGCCCCAACCGCCCGCCCCGCGCTCCGGTTTGAATCCCCCGCCGCCAGCCAATCCCCGCGGGCCCCGGCGCCATCCCGGCCTCTCATTGGCCGCGCCCGATGCCCTCCTGAAGCCAAGCGGCCGCCATGTCTGCTGAGGGCGCGGCGGAGGGGAACGCTGGGCACCCAGGCGTCCCCGGGCTGAAGCCGGCAGGGCGCCATCTTTGCTGCTGGCGGCCGGAGCACCCACGCGTTGCTTGGCAACAGCGCGGGCCGGCGACGCCAGGAGGGCCCAGGGCCCCCAAAATCCTTCTGGGCTCCTTCTGGGGGTCCCTCCACAAACACTGGGACTCTTCTGGGCTGTTTTGGGGGTTAAAGACTGTCCTCAGGCCGAGCCCTGTTGTTATTTTAAGCAAAGCCTGGTTCTGCGCGGGGCTGGATGCAGCCCGTGACTGCTGAACATCTCCCCGAGGCTGTTTGTTAAGTGTTGTCACTTGGAGAAATTCGACGGACTTTTGCCTTTAAACACTGATCTGAGTACCAACTGATCCCCCATGGCAAGGGCAAAACCCATTTCAAACCACACAAGTTCTCCCCTACACATGCTCTTAATATGCAAAGGAATCAACCCCAAACCCAACGACTCCACAAAGGGAATTCACATAATCATGAAATAACAACCCACCATAATCTTTTAAATCTGAAACAAAACAGCGGGTAATTGAAGAATGGATATTAGCAATTAGAAAGCGGAACTAAATGCTCAGAATTGCGCGGTGGAGAAGGGAGTTCATAAAGCAGATTGCGCTCATCATCCAGCTGCTTCGTTGGAACTGCTTTATTTGGGGTATATATGGTTTGTTTTAACTTAATCAATAATAATTAATTCATAGTAGATTGTAAAAAGCCTCAAGATCTTTGGGAGAATAAACATTAATGAGGCTTCCTTGAGGAAGAGAGATAAAATTATCTACATTTAATGGGGGGAACAGAGGCCCTGAAGAGACACAGCTCATCCTCCGAGTCGATGGCCAAGCAAGGGAAAGGGGGTTGACCTTGATGTTTGACCTCATGGCACTGAAAATCGCCCAAAAGCCTCGTTTGCTGCGGAAGCTGGAGGCTGATAGTTATACCTGGCTCGGCCACAAGCCCCTTGTGCATTCCCAGCCCTTCCTGCACCCCCATTTCTGCTGAGGTTCAGCTGTTTCGGTGTCAGCCCGGGGGGCCTCCTGCAGCTCCTGCCTGTAATTAAATCTTTGCAGCTGAGATGTCTCTATTGGCAGGCCGTATTTATAGGCAGGCGAGTTGTTTTAGTGCCGTTCCGAAGCGCTAAGGAGGCTTCTGCTCACGAGCAAATCCTGCTCTCTTTCAAACTGTCATCTGCGATCTCGTGCCAATAAAAAAGGCGCAATCATTTTAGAGACGATTGCCCCCGCGGTGCCTGCAGTGAGCTGCTGCATTAGGTGCTGGGGTTGTTGCTACACAAAGTAGATTTTCTTCCATATGTGTGTGTGTCCTCCCCCGAGTCGTGGCGGGAAGCTCCAAGGGCAGCAGGGACTCAGCACCCCCCGAAAAAAAAAAAAATAAAGCTTCTGAGAACCCTCCTCACCTGCTGGACGTGCCAAACGGGCCTCCAGCCCCATCCCTAAAACCTCGGCGGGGTTTTCCATCGACGGGAAATCAGGTGGTGGGAGCACCTTCCAGACAGAGCTTTGTTCCAGGGCAGAAGAAAGGCAGGAGGGCTGAGGGGGCCTTTTCAGGAGCTGCTTTATTGCAAAGTAATTATATTCCCTTTTGTTTGTGTCAGGAAGGGAGGGAGAAGCCTTGAAATGTCTCATCTGGGAAACCGTTAATAGAATTTATGCTAATTTGATGATTCCGGCGATTACTGGCGGAAGCACTTCACATTTCCAGGCAGCAGAAATTCTCCTCCAGCTCCTCCTGCAGCCTCACTTGGTTGGTCTTCTTGGCCTGCTCTCCTCCTCCAGCCACCACACCCCCTTTGCTGGGCAGCACTGGGGGACCCCAGTTGGATTTTCGCTGTTCCCATTCCAGTGGATGTCACTGGTGACCCCCAGTCACCAGTGGATTTTTTTGGGGGGGAAGGATGGAGAGAACCCTACCCTGTGTGAGCAAAAAGCCCTGCAAAAACCAACCCTCTCCCTGCCAACCCCGTCCTCTGGTGAAGCTCCTCGAGCAGCAATCGCCGTGCCCAGCTCCAGTAATTAACTCTGGAATTGGAAACCCATTTGTGCAGCTTTGTGCTCAGGGGAAACCTTTATTAAAAGTTCCTTTTAATCCAAAACCGGTTAGAGCACGATGGTCTTCATAAACAGTCATTCAAAAAAAAAAATATAAATAAATAAAAAGAGGGAAAAAGCAAGTGGAACTAGAAACTGTAAGACAACAACCTTTCTCCGGGGGGGTGGGGGGGGGAAACCGAGAAAAAATTATCTGAGGTACATTTCTCTTGATGCATTAATACAGCACGGGTGTTAAAAAGGAATTATTCAGTAGTGTGAGGAAAAAATCCATCAGGCTGAGCAGGGAGGGCAGCCGAGGTTTAGCCTGAGGAAGACGGACATTTTAGGGAATTAATTTCCAATTTCTCAGGGCTGGCATCGGGATCATGGGCTGGGTGGGAGCTGTGGGGACTCAGCCAGAGCACCCTCCGTGGGATCTGTGAGGAGGGAAATGAGGAGCCCGTGGGGGTCTGTGGGGGCTGAAGGGGCTGTGTCGGTGCCACCGGGCCAGCGACAAACCAGGCTGATCCGCGATCTCCCACCTGCGAGGTCACTCCTCCCAGGATAATTCCTCCAGCGAGAGGGTGCGTTAATGTCAGCAGAGAAGCCACGGCCTTCCCCTGAACTCCTTAAAAAACAAAGGGAGTCTCTATTGCCTTCATCTGGCTTTTAATGAATGACCTCTTGTCGCCGGGAGCTGCGTGCGGTGACAAAGGACCTTTGTGGGCCGATATTTATGATTTCATTTAAGCCAGGGAGCAAGCCGAGGGAGAGGGCTGGGAAAATGAGAGCTGGGCTGACGGTTCTTGCTTTAAAACTCGAGGGATCTTTATCTGGTTTCTGTATTGATACAGTTGTCATCATCTCTTAAATATTCGAGCCGGGGAACGCTCTCCCACGCCGGAGGGACGAGCCCACATCGTCCTCCTCTGGACCCGAGCACGGGATCAGGGGGGAAGGGTTTGCACGTTCCCAGAGTTCCCCCCCCAAAAAAAATTGCCCCCACACACCCAGCGTGCTGTGAAAGCCCCCCAGCCCCCTCACGGGGGGCCCCGACGCCCAAACTCGCCAGCGCTGATAAATCTGTGCCTTTTCCCTCGGCGGGCCTCGGTGGCGGATTAAGCAGCTGGGAGTCGGGAGTGAGAGCGTGTCCCCTCTCCTTTGCCATGCAAACAGAGAAAATTAATCTTCCGGCTTCCTCTGATATTTGGGCTGAATTACAAGCTGGGAGCGGAGATAAAGCGCGGGCGGAGGAAGGCGCAGGTACAGCGGCGAGAGGGCTGCTGGCACAGGCCTTTGTCCGTGCAGATAACGCTCTCTCCTCCTGGAGTCATGCATAATTCACCAGCGCTGCCTCCCTGGGCCTGGTCAGCCCTCCCTCTGCTTCCCCCGTTCTTCCCCTCCAGCAGCTGGTAGTGCTTGTCCAACAGACACGCTCGGCACACGCGAGCGCCCACGGACGCGGCAGCGACGTGAGAACCTCAGACTTTGGAGGAGCTGTGGGCAAGGGGGAGTTGTCCCCCTCTATCTGAAGGCTGAGGGAGCTGGGGGACAACGCTCTGGTGGGCGACAGCCGGCACTGGGATGGGCTGGCTGCTCACAACTCGGCGATTCCCGATTCCCGACACCCGCCCGGCCGCTCGCACCCACCGACACTTCCCCTCCTGCAAAGGGCCTGGGGGTGGGGGGGGTGTGATTTGATATGCCCATCACATCCCAGCTCTGCCAGCCACGCTATCTGCCCAAATCCCTCCTCGTTACACTCGGGCAGAGGTGACATCCTGCGGGATCCCAGCCCCAGCATTAACAGGGGCGTGATGTGGCTGCTCGTCCTGTGCCACACGGAGAGGGAGAGCCAGGGGAGGTTTTCCACAGCCACCAAGGGCTTCTTTCCCAGAGCAAAGCAGGAATGACCCCCCCTGGTCACCCTCAGCCAAGCAGTGAGCACAGACACCTGCTTAATGATTTTTTGCTTTGTAAACGAACGCAGCGCCGTGAGTTTAATAACCACTGCTCGGGAGTAATTGGGGCCATTATTGTATGGCCCGGGGGGAAAACTGCAGCTTGTTATCTCCAGGGAGTAGAATTAGGATCCAGCAGATAATCAGGCCGTTATTTGTTGCACTTTAGATGACATTTCTTATGGATTTAGAAGCGATAGTGATCAAACTGTGTTGTCAGAGCCGCTGCCAAAGCGGGGAGTCCGGAGACCTGGAAGCCAAGCAGCACCTGAAGCTGCCTGGGCCAGCTGCTCTTCCAGCAGGAATAACAGACTCGTGTGCCACATGGAGCTCAAAGGCGCCCAGATCCGAGCATCCCCCACCCCTGCTTTAATTTGATCTTCTCCTGAGGGAGAGACGACGCTCAGGATGCTGCAGGAGAGGATGCGGGGGGGGGGGGGGGGGGGTATCAGCCCTCAACACGCCACCAGCCAGATCTATACTCGGTGATTAGGTTTCTCGAGATCTTCCCTCCTCCGTTTCTCCCTCCCCAGCCCAATCGATGGCCTCTGCCTGTCCCCTGGCCTCCAGCAGCCCTGAGTTTGGAGGTTTGGGCAGGAGCTGCAGCAGCAGGATTGTTGTCTGCTTGGTCCCACGGGCACCAGCAGCTCTGGGCACCCTCCCCGTGCCATGATTGCTCCCCGTGCCCATCCCACACCTGAGCTCTCATCGGCTCCATTTGTGCACCCTCAATAAACAGCAGCTTTCAGCCCCTCCAGGGTTTTTTTTTTGGGGGGGTGGGGGACAATCCCAGCAAACCCAGTTGT